CCCGGCGCCTGTCCCGGCCCGCCGAGCCCCCATTTCCCCGGGAGCCGCCCCGGCCCCGGCGCAGCCCGGCGCCTGTCCCGGCCCGCCGAGCCCCCCTTCCCCGGGAGCCGCCCCGGCCCCGGCGCAGCCCGGCGCCTGTCCCGGCCCGCCGAGCCCCCCTTCCCCGGGAGCCGCCCCGGAGCGCCGCCGCCGCGGCCCGCGGGCCGGGCCTCACGCCGCACTCACCCCGGGCCTGCCGGCGCGGCCGTGCCGGCCCGCCCGCCCGCTCAGCCGCTCATGCTGACGGCGCCGCCGGCGCGGCGGGCGGAGGCAGCGCGGCCCGGGCTCCCCGCGCCAGCCCCGCGCCCGCTTCCGCCGCCGCCCCCGCCCCGCCCGGAAGCGCCGCCCGGCCCCGGCCCCGCCGGCAGCCCCGGGCCCGCGGGGAGCCCGGCCCGGCCCGGCCCGGCCCCGGCCGGCCGCGCTCACCTGCTCCCGGGGCGGCCTCCGCGCTCCGGGCACCGCGGGAGCGAGGGGCAGGCGCGGAGCGGGGCGGCGGCGCGGCGGGCTGCCCTCCCCCGGGGCCGCCCTCCCTCATCCTCCCCGCGGCGGAGCGGCCGGCGCCTCATGAGTCACCGAGCCGGGCCCGCACACGTGCCCGGCCCCGCCGCCCGCGGCCGGGGAGGCGCGGCAGGGGCGGCGCTGCCCGGCCCGGCCGCGCAGCGCCCAGCGCGGCGGCTCCAGAGCCCCAGGGCCGTCCCGGGGAGCACGGTCCCCCAGAGCCCCAGGGCCGTCCCGGGGAGCACGGTCCCCCGAGGACCCGCTCCCAAAGCGGGCGGCAGGATCCTGCTCTCCTCCTCTGAGCCGCAGCAGCCGTTGCAGAGCGGCTGGTTCTGCCGGCTGCCGCGGGGGCTGGCACGGCTCCCCCGGCACCCACCAGCAGCGGCTGCACCGCTCCGGCCCTCCAGAGACGCAGCCCCACCGCCCGGGCGACTGCTCGGCTCTGGCCCTGTCACAGGGCAGGTGTCGGTCCGGCCGTGTGGCTGGCACCGACGGCAGAGTGCACAAAGATTAGCCAGAGGTGTACCAAAGTGTCCCCTGCCACGACACGCACACGGGGTCATGTGCAAAGGGCTCATCAGACCACCGTGGTGCTAACCACAGTTTAGGAAAGACAAACTGAAAAGAGACAAGGAAAGAGACAGGGAGTTTATCTCCAGTGTCACGTACTGTTAAACGTCTTTTAACACAGATACCTAAGCAGAGGGTTGTTTTGTGAGATGAAGTAATGACAAATAATTCCTCACTTGACTTTGGGAGACAGATTTTGTTAGCTGGTCTCTAGATCTAACTCCAGCTGCTTCCTTCATAAGGCTTTTTGTTCTGTTACAAGCCTGGAGGGGATATAATTAACTTTGCTTTTCTTGTGCTCTAATCGCCCCTGCAGCGGAGCAGGCAGCACTTTGGAAACAGAATGGATTTAGTGAGCATCCCTCCTCAGAGCTGCCCAGCCTGGGCAGCATCCAGGTGTGCCACATGCCCGAGGGAGTGCCGGCACCTCAGTGGCTGGGAGAGCTTTCTGATACCTGCTGGTTAACTCTGATGGCTTTTTGCTAGAAACGGGAGGCTGAAAGGACAAAGAAGCATTCCATTTTCTTTCAGAAAAATGTCATGTTCTTACACTTTTGTTTCAATGAAGTTTAATCCAGAGCAGAACAAAACTCATGACAACTGGTATCCCATTGTATTTTCTATTTGCCTGCCTCGCTGTGGTGCAGCGCAGATGTCCCCCAGCCAGAGCAGCCCTGGCTGCACAGCCCCGATGGGCCCTGGGAGTGAACATTGTACTGGGCCACTTGTGCTCTTCCTGTTCCCGCTCAAGCACAAAGAGCTCCCGGGGCCATTTCCTCCCTGAGAACCGACATCACCGCTCTGGGCGTTTTCAAAGCACTTCTGGTCACAAAGTTTCTGTACAAACTCCTCCCTGCCCAAATTCTTCTTAAATAATGGCGTGGAACAGTGTCTTGGCGCTGGGAGACTGGAGCTGTGTCCTGGGCACAGTGATGGCATTTCTCACAGTATCCTGGAAAGTGAATGCATTCCATTCACACTGCTTTATGCAGGTTACAGCAGATCAAACCCTGAGGCATGGACGTCGGGCACAAGCTCATAGCAGAATGTCCAGGCACGGCAGGGTAAAGAGGAAACCGTAAGGAAATTTCAGATGCAGGGGTCTCCCAGGTCATCATCCAATGCCAACAGCAACCACCACCTGGGATTCCAACAGACTAATTGTCTTACAGCAAAGATAAAGAAATGTGTCATAGCACACTGCATCGTGCGCCGCTCAGCCCTGAAGACATAAATCGGTACTTGAGGACAAAGAGAAACACTGTATGCTAAGAAAGTTTTTTGAGGGATACTTTGTGTTTTACAGTCCCTGTGAGCTATTGCACGTGGAGCAGGAAGAGGAGCTCTCCTGGCTGAGTCAGGGCAGCCCTGGCGCTGTTGAGGGGAGAGGCTGACCAGTGGAAACGGTGCCAAGGTGCCTGCCCTTCCCTCTGAGCCCAGCAGGCAGCAGGGCCAGTGGTCACCCGGAGCATGGACACCAGTGTGTCCCAGAGCCTGACACGAGGGTGCCTGTGGGCATCCTCATCCCGGCTGCGCCTCGAGCAGAACAAAAACACTTCCTCGCTGCTGGGCTCCCACCTGTTAGGAGCATGGGGGGCTCCGTACCCGGCCTCACACACAGACAGAAACCACCTGAGCTCCAAGTGTGTCTTCATTTTATCTCACCAAATAGCTGCAATACAGCAGTCACTAAATCAACCTATACTCTGATTTTCCTTCTCTCCTTGAACCTTCATTAAAGACAGACACACGAGTTGCTTCAAACCCGAACTGAATATGACTGCAACCCTGGAGAAGCCGTTTGCTTCCTGATGCCCTTATTTGTGCAACACTGGTGAAGCTCAAGTTCCCCAAAAAGGTCTGACACAAGCTCCAGTGCGGCTGCCACGGAAGGCCCTGCTGCCTCCCTGCTCTTCCGGAGCCCGCTCCCGCGGCTGCTGCACGGCGCACGCAGCCACCGCTTCCCGCCAGGCCAGAGCACATTTGTTTCTGGTTTAATGATCTCATCTGCATGTGCATTTCTGTAAATATAGCACACAAATTTATGACTTGGCCCTTACATTGTTTTGTCCTTTTATTTTAAAGCCTCCTGCAACTACTGTGTGATAGCATTCTTGTTGAAAGCAATAAGATACTTAGAATCTCTCCTAGTCTACAAGCACATAAATGAGAAAAATCCACAGCGCAATTCCTAGCAAATAATTGTGACAGACGTTATAGCTTCTGCCTTTTCTGCAAAGGCAATTTCTTTCCTTCTCTGCAGCTCATGCTGGAGCCCCTCCAGCAGCACCTGGTCACAGCCCCAGCCCCACGGGAGCAGTGTGGGTGCTCAGCCCCACGGCTGCTGCGTGCGATCCAACGTGGTGTTTAGTCACGGAAAACTGGCGGGACGTTCGCCAGCAGTAGCAGATTTCACGGTAGGAAGCTGAGGGTTGCTCTCAGAGGATTAATGTCATTTCAATCTCCCATGCACTTAACCAACAGCCCCCTAGAGTGCCGGAGAGGGGCTGAGCAGCAACG